AGGCTTGAAAATATAAAATACAACATATAAAAATACAAGGGAAATGTCTTTCCCTGTAAGTCACACGTGGTCATAAGAGACGAGGTCAGGTGACAAAAAACATCTTGCAATACACCATAACACAACAGCACCACCCACTGTTGTCTCATCGCCTAATCATGCAGTTAAATCAACACTTCTCTGATAACAAAAGCTCTAACAAAGGAAGTACTAATATGTATTGCAGGCTGACTACACAGGCTTTCATTATATCATGCAAGTGTTTGCATATTTCTTTCCACCCTCTGTAACTGTAGGAACGAAATTAAAAAAATATGTTTCATTCAAGTATCAGCGCAGGCAGTGAGTTAATGTTTTACAAGATATTTCAGTAACAGAGTGAATTAAGTGGCCTACTGTGACTGCGTTATAATTACTGTGTGTGCCGGGCTCTCTGGATGTTTAATATCACAACAGTGCCCTCGTGTGGAGGATCTGTTTTCATTCATTTGTTGTCCGTGTGTTCCTGCTATTTCACAGATCCATTATCCGCGTTTTTCAACCATCTTGTTCTTTCCATGTTTATAAACAGAGGGTAGAGATAAAAAAAAAAAATGAAAAGAAAAAATTCTGAGGTGGGCAAACCAACTACATTGCAGACACCACATGTTCTTGGGGATTGAGGAACATTTCACAGGTTATATCTGCTGAAATCTGTGATATTACACCAGACCTGTCAATTAAATGCACCATGTTGAGGTACCTTGGTTAGGCTCCCACATTTTAGGTTAAAATAACAACATAATGAACCGTAATCCCCTTGGGTATGTTTTCAGTGTCTTTTTGTAATTTGTGTAATTTATCCATTTATTTTTATTTTTGTTTAATTCACGGAACCATTTGCACCGATTTAGATTCATTCAGATCTGCAATCCAGGAAGGACACGACAGTAAAAGACTGTATTGAATGAGCAGTTCTGAATAATAACACAGTAGATACATCTTGAGATACTGCTGAACACAACCTGCAGTTTCCTGGTGTGACGACAATACCTGCAGCCTATCGGCAGAGGTGCCCAGATGTGGTGTTCAGGAAAGAGAACCTGCATTCACTTTTTAATGTTTGTTTGTGATTCCGTGTCAGTGAGCGGTAATGTAAGTTTATACTTCTGATGTAAACATAATTAGTCCAACAGTTTTTTTTAAATACCATTGCCTGACATGGATTTCCTCTAATTGTAAAATTACATGAATTTAAGGTAACATATCGCTGCAGTCCGTTTTGGTGTCTCTTATATTTGTCTATTTTGTTTTTTTTCTCGGTTTATTCCATTATATTTTCTTCTTCATTGTGTTTTGTGTCATTGCTCTTATATTTATTTGCCTCAGATAAAGCAATTTATAACGTCAGTGTTTAAAATATGCTATGCAAAAATAATTATCCCCTAAATCTACTTCATGGACAGCCTTCAAAATCTGTTCATCTGGGGATTAAGCAGACGGACTTTAGTTTAAATGTTTTGAAAAATCTGGGTGCAGATCGATTGTCGGAAGATTACGAAGAGGTCCTGAACGCAGCACCAGTCCCGTTCCTGCGGTGACTCCAGTCCCGTTCTTGCACCGACTTGGACTCCATGTTGTTCCAACAGCCACGGAGCGAACAAGTGCCCTGGCCGAAAACTCTCACGTTGCAACTTTGTGTGTGCGAGAGAAGTAAAGTGTGTGTGTGTGTGTTGACCCTCCTGAAAGAAGATGGCAGACTACCGGGAAGACACCGGAGCTCGAGCCCTGCTTGCTTTACAGTCGGCACCATGCAGTCCCGTGCGCGTCGCGGTGACCTCGCACTCCTATCACCAGCCCTCGCTCTCCCTTTTGGGTCCTCCGATGATGGAAGCCCGCGCCGACGCCGAGATGTTCCCCGTGCGCCTCGCTTGTCCTCCTCTGCAGGCCCTGGCCAGACTCGAGGGCCGGGACTTTGAGTTTGTGATGCGCCAGAGGACGGTCACCATAGGCCGGAACTCGTCTCATGGCTCCGTGGACATCAACATGGGTCACTCGAGCTTCATTTCCAGGCGACACCTGCAGATCACATACGACGAGACGAACGGTTTCTCCCTCCGGTGCTTGGGCAAGAATGGCGTGTTCGTTGACGGGGTGTTCCAGCGGAGAGGGGCGCCGCCGTTGTCGTTACCCAGAGAGTGAGTGTTAGCATAGCCGCTACCGACAGGCTAATTATGGTAACACGGAGTGTGGTTGTTGGCTGGGCTACCCAAACTTTACTGTTCAACGTAAGCATTGACCTACTGTTGGACAAACAGCCCCAGCGACAATCGTGACATATTTTGTGTCCCCTTTAAGGTCCCCCCCCCCCCTCTTTAGTGGACACCGGGCGGCTGATTAAACATTTGTTAAAAACAAAATCTATAGAATTGTATGTGGGCTTTGTGAACACATAACTGAATAATTCCTAATTGTTTTTGCCGACATACGTAGCTTTACAAATTTATAACGTTCTCCTTATTAAAACGGACAAACCGGAGACACATTCGGACACAGGTACAAAGTTAGTCATGACACCCCTAATGAGAGCGGTTTGATTTGGTCCGATCCGGTGTAGCGTCGGTTTAAGTGTACTTGGTTTGGTCAGGGAAGCTGTAACGTAACACGCTAATATGTGTCCACCTGAGCTGTTAAATTATTTTATTTTTGTATCCGTCTGTGGGACCACCTCCAGGAAACCTTTTACTCCACTTTGTAAACCAGTGAATTAACCTAGCTAGCTTGTCTTAGCCGTTAGCAAATTTAGCTTCATTTGGCCTACCGACAAGCTAAACCTAGTTAACAAATGTTAAAACAAACATAAGGTTCCTATGATTTGTTGCAGGTAGTTGTGTTGTCATATTGTGGTAGACCTGGACTTTCTAAAATAGCCGAACGTTTAGTCTCACGTGTCTGTTCGTATAAGTCGTAACAGTTTCAGGGTGATTATGTGAGCGTCAATGTTGGCTAGTTGTGAAGCTGTTAGCCAACCGATCGCCGTCACGTTAACCTCTATGTAAACAAACGCACCCCTCCGTTCACGAGTCTTGTAAGCAATGGTGTTTGTTTTGTATTGAAACTTGAAATGCGTTTTTTTTTTAAATATTGTTTTACTCCAACTGTTGTTGCACCACTGTCGAGGCAAAAGAGTTTGCCTTCACTGGTTCGTTTAATTCGGTGGCAATCTCAAACTGAAAGCTTTGACTTTGCGTGTGTGTGTCAATCACGGAAGGGGGGGGGGGGGGGTGTTATCCTCTCTGATTGGTTGTCAGGACTGTTTGGGGGCGTGTCTAGCATTGGACAGGAAGTATAGGCTGAAATGATAGCCTCATTGCAGGAGCACATGGAGTAAACACAGGACTCAAAAACCAAGGCCATATCCAACACAGCCATGTTCACAGGATTACAAAGCTAAGCTAAGTCTGAACCCTCTTCAAATGTAGAAGAGTGCAATGAATTAGTAATTTTAGTTATCCTGGTACATTCACAGGAGTTATACATTCTATTATTTTACAGCTTTGAAACACAATGGATTAATTAGGACACTGATATGTGTTAATATCAGCTAATGTCTTCAGATTGTTGGGAGTAAAACTTGATCACAACACTAAACATTTGCTTGTATTCGCCCCCTTCAAGTCATCTGGAGACTGCCAATTATTAGTTTCCTTTACAGAACTTATCAAGCTCTGTCCAGTGTCACTAGGACCCCGTGTCTCCTGTCTCAAATTTCAGATTGGGCTGATGTCTGAAGACATTAACATTGTTGTTATTATTTATTGCCTTGCCGTACAATAGTTCTCCTAAGTCATAGTACTCATTTAGGCTGAAGCAGATTTTCTTTATGTCTCTGTTTTTGCATTTTGTTGCATTTTACCAACCCTCTTACCTTTTCAAGCCTTCAATAGCTTGCAGTGGGGAAGCATTCACACAGCTGGCTATGATGTAGGGCGTGATGTGTTTCGGGGGCCAGTATGATTGCAAAAATTGTGGTCCCATTAAAAGGTTCTCTATGTGACATTCAGAACATTAATATAGCTGCAAACAACTGTTTGCTATGTAAAGATATGGTGGAGTAATGGGGTCCTGAGCAGGGAATGAAGTCTCATTCCCTGTGTGTGTGTGTGTGTGTGTGTGTGTGTGTGTTGTACTCCGAGCTTCTCTGTGCTTTGTTTATGTAGCTGGCCGGCTCTAGTGCACGTTAGTGCATTTTAGTTACCGCTGATAATGCCGTCCTGACCGATGGCCTTGCGGAAGTCTAACGCCAACTCTCCAGCCCCCAGTTCAACACTGTTAGCTATCAGCCCTGTTGTCATTGTTTGCACTGTTTGTTCTGTTAGCTTTGTTTGCTTTTAGCTGCTGTCTTAGCCATCGCCATGTTGAGAGCCGTGTGGATACAATCTCTCAATCATAGATTTGCTCTGAATTCCATAAAGACCTCCTTTAAAACCTTTTTCCACTTTGTCTCAGTCCCTCACACAGAACACTATTCAAATTGTCATGCGAGTTCTTTGAACAGTCTCTTTCTCTTAGCTACGCTGGCATACAGCTGGGAATGTTGAAGGAATTAAGCAAAAAAATTGTTGTAGGCAAAATCTCTTCAATCTCATCTGTGGGACCCTGAAGCTCCTTAAGAGTTGCCACAAGTCTTTGTCCTCTCTCACTAGAGCCCTTATTGCATGGACAGCCACTTGTTGAGGAGGGCCTGTTCTCGGCAGAGACAGCTGTGAGCAAACTGTACATGGGTCCAGTATTGGACAAGCAGCTGCAAAAGTCAAATTATAGAGAAACGATGGAACACAGACTGGTTTAACTGTCTGAAACTGCTTACAAAATCTTTGTGGTCCTGTGTGGATGTTTGTTTTTTTGTCATTTGTTTGTCTCTGCAGGGAGGTCTTAGCCTGAGCTCAGCTCCCCTAGAATTAGTAGGGATTCAGTTTATTGCTTAAAGACACAAATGATAGGACGGTTGTAGTCACAAAGACTTAACTTCAGTGATAATGCAAACCTTGCTGCCTAAACCTGCTAGGAAACATTAAAACTACTTACATTAGTTATTACGGTTCCAGAGTCAATCCCTCACACATATAGTTATTTTAATGTTTTTTTTGTTTAGGGTTGATCTAACTTGGTCCTGACTGATCCTTGCTTTTATTGAGAGAGTTGTCCAGACCCGCTTAAAGAAGACGAAATGCTGGTTAACGGATGTCGTGTTAGGCCTGCACCAGACTAGTTCTTTGCCCACAAAAGGTGTCGGCTAAAGACGTTGTATATATTAACAACAAACCTCTATAGTTAAGAGGAAAGTGTCATTGCTTAATGATATGATATTTCTAAATAAAACACAAGCTTCTTGTCACATGTGGTAGATTTGTTATCCACTATGTATAATTTAAACATATAATATTGTGAAGTACTTTGGACATAATAATTTACATTTTACTATAAATGTTCAAATTTACATTTTCTTGAGCACATTAAGACAATGCGTTTGAGTCTTGAGAAAATAAATTGGTAAAGTGTTCAGAAAAATGGAAATTTTAACGTACAACTGGGCAAATTCAATCTGCTGAGGAAAGTCATGTGATATGATTCAAAGCTTCAGATTAGAATTAAATATGTTAAATTGTATAGGAGTCAATGCACTAATCTGTCTTTGTCTGTCGTGTCTCCCACCATCTCTCCCTCCGGCCGTCCTGCTCTCTAGGTGTGTGTTTCGTTTTCCCAGTACAGTCATCAAGATCCAGTTCATGTCACTCCTGCAGCCGGAGGAGCACAGAGAAAGGGATCAGGTCTCTCTTCCCCCCCGCCAGCTCCTGCCCCACATTTCCCCCCTCAAAATCAGCATTCCCACAATGCAGCAGCATGAAGAGCACATCAGGGCTTTTGGGTCGCCGCTGCCCTCGCCCACAGGCACCATCAGGTAAGAAGAGACCCGCAGACACACACGATCATATGAACAACAACAGGTTTACACTGATGAATGCAAACACAGCATGTTATCTGATGTACACATTTCATAAACATGGACCAGATTTGGCAGGAGGGGTCAGTGTTTCTTACTTATAAACTATTTGGAAGCTGTTCCTTGTAAACAACTGTCCAGTTTAAGAAAAACACCAAACACTCCCTGATTACCGCTCCTTCATTTTGAGGATTAGCTGATTTCCTTTTCATTATGACGGTAAACTGACAATCTGATGACATCACGCTGGAAGTTAGGAAATTATAATCAGCAATCTACTAATTGCAGCCATAATACTAATTCAATCATCCTGCTTAGATTTGCTCTATCAAGCAAACATCAGTATATTCCATTTTGACACCTTGACTGAAAATCTATTTAAAAAGCATTTTACGACTCGATTGTGTCTTTGCATGTGGTGTGATAGATCATACAATAAGTGTTTTAGGTCTATCGCAGTACACAAGCGGTTTACTTTCTTCCCTTGTCTCGGGGTCCGTACATGTTTATTCATGTGTAAGCAACTGCAAACACGTGAGGCTTTGTTTCCTTTGGGTATTTGTCCAATTGTGACCCACAGGCCTGCGCTGTTTTCACCAACCACAAACCATATCAGCTCACTTTCACTGATAATCTCCTGTCTGGTTGAAGGAGTATTCATCAGCTGCTGCAGTGTTTCCGTCATGGTGGAAACCTGCCCTCTAAAAAGCCGTGATGGCACATGTTTGAAAATCACTGCTCTATAAATGTACACAGCATGTGCTACTGGCAAAGCATGCTGGTGCTGATTGTGCCCTCTGGTGGCCTTTAATGGTCTCTGCATCACACAGCCCCACCAATGTCAGCTTGTGTGTGCCTGCCTTATATGGAATGGCTGCAGCTTCGAGGCGTGTGATTGGCTGTCGGGCAGATTGTTTTGCCTGTAGGCCATTTTTTCCATCCATTCGCGGTTTCCTTTTCAGAGCCCCCACTCAGCCCTCAGCTCCTGTTCTCTCGCACATGGACAAACACACAACACACTCGCACAGAGTGGAGACGCTCGCTCAGACAGCTCTCCACCACTCCCACTGTGGCCTTTTTTTCGGGCATGTTGTTGTGCCACCTTCCTTGACGGTATCCACACACAGTACATACAACAGAAGACGAGGATTGTGTAAAAGCACATGCCTCCACTTAAACACCAACGGTGTCTCATCACAGGGTGGTAAGAGTCACCTTTCCTGTTTGGCAACTGAAATGAACTGTATACAGTAACATTCATCTGCCCCGGCCATGTACACATGCAGAGCTGTTGTTTTAACAGCGTCAGAGGAAAGCAAAGACAAACCTTTTCTCCCTCATGGCTTTTAATGAAATTTAAGGATATAGATTTACAGACACAATCCTGTTTTGATATTAGGGCTGAACAATGATTCAACAATCTGTCAACATCGCAATATGGCCTGCAATCTTCAAATCGCAGGAGGCAAAATGTGTCAAAATACAACATTAAATTAACTATTGTTGTGGTGCAGAGACGTCCCGGCCTACACATCATATTCTACAGACTTAAGAAAACTTGAGCAACATTAGAAGTTTCTTCTTGTCATTCATTTTCAAAGCTGAGCTTACAAAGTGACTTGCAAAACAGTCTGCAGCCTAGTTTCCCCAGCAGAGAGAGAGAGAGAGAGAGGCAGAGAGAGAGGCAGAGAGAGAGGCAGAGAGAGAGGCAGAGAGAGAGAGAGAGAGAGGCAGAGAGAGAGAGGCAGAGAGAGAGAGAGAGAGAGAGGCAGAAAGAGAGGCAGAGAGAGAGAGGCAGAGAGAGAGAGAGAGAGAGGCAGAAAGAGAGAGAGAGAGAGGCAGAGAGAGAGAGGCAGAGAGAGAGGCAGAGAGAGAGAGAGAATCGCTGTATCTTCGGCTCTCTGTTGCTAAAGGCAAATCAAAGCACACAGACTCCGACAAACCAGTGTTTACTTTACTAACAGAAGCAGGTGTGTGTTGTATAAGTTACTGGGTTTTCCTTGTGTTGTGTCTCTCAACAGCACCAGATAAAACCTAGTTAATCATTAACATAATTTTGAGTATTTTTCTCAATGCTGTGTGTTTTATGTGTTAAGAACGCCCCGGATCTGAGCTGTTATCATTTTTCCAAATGTAGCTCGTGTGTGTTTGTCTGTCTATCTGTTTGTCATCATATGCTGAAAGGATTATATTCAAAATATCAATTTTTATTCTGTTTTAGTTTAAAATGGCACTTAATCTTTTTAACATTACAATTGTACAATTAACATGTACAATTATTATAAGACAATTAGAAAGACGGAAGGTCTTTGTGGATATTTATTTGTGTCTATTTATTTTTTGCATCCGATTAAGATTTACAGAAAATACCGATCAGTGTTTTTATTTTCTTTATTTGACATGAGTGCAGTATAAGCCAGATTTCACAACAAGTTTGTAGTTTTCTGTATGTTTGTGTAACGGTTTATTCTAGGAGTTTCTATCACTAATTTGGGCTTTGTGTCGGGGTGACAAAGGGACATTTCAGAATGTGATTTGTATTGAATTGGAGGCTTCAGGATGACATTTATAAAACATGTCTGCTGGACGTTCCAAAGGTCTACCTGGGTGAGACTCTGTTGACAGACTCCTTCCTCTCTTCTCCAGTGTTCCTAACTCCTGTCCGGTTAGTCCACGAGGGGCTGGGTCATCAGGGTATCGCTCATATGGACGCAACGTGACCTCCGACCTCCAGTTAGCAGCTGAATACGCTGCCAAGGCTGTTTCTGAGCAGAGGCGAAGCATTGTCGAGCAGAGAGGTGGGGGAAGTGAGCAGCGGGGGGAGTCGGCCGGTGGAGACAGCCCCAAGGTGAAGACCCAGTAGCATCAAAATAAGTTAATCGAGCACATCATTGAGAATTGGAACTTTCAAAGGGGTTTCTTGTACAATATGGGCTTGACGATGTGTGGATATTAATACCTTTGCCTTTTTTTTTGTTTAGGACGAGTCCAAGCCACCTTATTCCTACGCACAGCTGATCGTCCAGGCCATCTCTTCTGCCCCGGACAAACAGCTGACTCTCAGTGGCATCTACGCCCATATCACCAAACACTACCCCTACTACCGCACTGCAGACAAGGGCTGGCAGGTAGAAATTGTGTCCTAAAATATTCGCCATGTTTAAGCTTTCGTTATACTCGTTGTTCGTTGTATTATTCTCCAGAACGCGAGAGGGCTTACAAATGAAATGTACTGTGAAGAAGCAAGCAGATAATGGGAGTAAAGAGAGAAATAAGTATTAAATGCATTATAGTTAGAAAGAAACAAATGTTGAGTATCCTGTACACAATCTGATTTGGCTGGCAAAATATTTACTCAAATGTCAATATTTTTAAGATCTCCAGTTTCTAAAGAATTTAAAAACAAACTAGCCTTCTTTGTAAAATCCCTAGACGGTATTCATTTTTTCGTCGAATTTTTGCACACGCAGAGTTCCAAAAATTCCTCGCACCGGCTTCACTACAGCGAGTATAAACCTCAGCTTTAGGCTTCTGTGAGAAATTCTTTCTAATTGATATTTCTGTGTGACAAAACAATTTATTTTGCCTGTTCCTGCAGAACTCAATAAGACACAACCTGTCTCTCAACCGCTACTTTCTCAAAGTGGCCCGTTCTCAGGATGAGCCCGGGAAGGGGAGTTTTTGGCGGGTAGATTCTGCTTCTGAGAGCAAGTTAGTGGAGCAAGCCTTCAGGAAAAGACGGCAAAGAGGGGTGGCTTGCTTTAGGACGCCGTTCGGACCGCTCTCTTCGAGGTAAGTTGATCACCTGAGGCCTTCAGCTGCATGGGTGCACACACACACACACACACACACACACACACACACACACAGGCTCAGTTGCTTCTGATTCGACTGTTAACCCTTTCTCCCTTCTCTCTGCTTCTGCTCCTTGCTATCATTTGATTGGATAGAACAAAGTAAGTCTGACTTCTAGGTCAATATATTCAGCAGCAGGCACTGGCAGTCAGGGAGCTCTGTATGTTATAAGAAGTTCTTGACGTATTTATTGATTTCTTTGGTCTTTCTCCTTTTGTTTCTGTCCCTCTTCCTTCTTTTTTCAGGAGTGCTCCTGCATCCCCAACCCACCAGGGACTTCTTTCTCCTCCATCTAGCGGACTGCAGACTCCTGAATGTATGAGTAGAGAGGGCTCTCCTATCTCCCACGAACACCACGAACTGCTGGCTAACAAACTGGCATCTGTACCTGAGTATAGGTATTCTCAGAGTGCCCCAGGTAAGCTTTCACAAAACACACGCGCACACATGAAGGCTTTCACATGCCCTACTGAACAGGTGAAATGGTTGTTTGTGTCTCTGCATAGGATCTCCAGTCAGTGGTCAGCATGTCATCATGGCTGCACCCGCTCACCTGACAGGCCAGGGGAAAGCCCTCGCTTTCGTTCCAGGTGGTGGCGGCGGCCAAATCCAGCCCCTCCACATCCTCCAGAACCCCACTCAGTCCTCTATCACCATGGTGCGGGTGGTCACCAGCGCCCCTCCATCTTCCAACCCTCCTAATGGGTACAGCGCCCCCTCTGTTGGAGGAGCAGAGGGCAACACTGAGCTCAGAGGTACAGCCACCGGAATCTCTCTAAGAAGTGCACTCGCACCTTTGGGTCCGGTGCTGCTTTTTTACATGTGTTGATTGTGCGTTTGTGTTTCAATCAGAAGCCCAGCTGACCAGAGAGCGAGTGATCCAGACCGTGGACAGTGTAGTGCAGGGTGGGGATGGGCGAAACCTGGTCCTCGGTTTACATCAGCTTCCTGTTCGTCCTGTTACTCAGAATGGCAAACACACCGCTGTTGCCACAGCAACCAGTCTTGGCAATGCATCTGGTAAGATTTATCAGCAATCATTGACCACTCAGGATGATAAATATACAAAGTCATAGTATTCCAGAAAAAATGTCATGATATAGTATGTCTTGAAAATGGCATTAAAAGTAATGGTGGTGTCAAAAAATATGTCAAAAAAAGTCATAATATATAAGAAGTCGTAGTATAGTATGTGACAAGACAATTACTACAAAGTCACAGTATAATATGCCGTAAAAGGTCATGGTATAGAATATACCTTACTTTGTTTATTCTCTTCCAGGCCTGAGCAGTCCTCTCCAGATCCTGGCTGCCCAGGCCTCCAGCTCCCCTCCAGTGCTGGTGAGTAGACAGCCCAGTGCAGAAACTTTAGCTGAGCCCCAGGCCAAGCGGCCGAAGATGGAGGACGAGGGCGGGACCGAACCTGTTCAGCATCAAGTCACGCCTGCTCAGCAGCCCGTCATCGTGACCATGACGTCACAAACCCACGACCCTAGGAAGTAAAAGCCCGGGGCCTCTAACCAGGTACCCAACGGACAGCCTCCTGATGGTCCCCTAACTGCTTTGCCTTTTATACTCATTTGATAAGACTGCAGCCGCCACGGCCCAAAAAAATGTACAGGCAGCCTCTCTCGACAGAAGGGAATTCAATTCTAAGGAACATATTTTTTTGGTCAAATAGATTAAAAAACTTTCAATTACATTCTGAATTTAAAAAGCAAGTAAATCTTTCAGGACTTTTTCAGCTTTACAGTCTTTTTTAATGTAATCCATCGCTCACTGACGACACAAGTAAGGATATTAAGCTTATAAGAGCATTATGCATTTTACAATCATTTCAGCACTACTTTTAATATCTCAGATACAACCTTTCCTCTAGTCGACGGAGGAGATGCATCACTTACTGTCACTCTCAGGCCAAAGAACTCCTGCACTTCTGATTAGTCATTGCCTGATTTAAAAACCAGGGAATGTGTGTTCAGAGATTTGAAATGGCCGGCATTTATAGAAGAAACTGTGACGATCGGAGTCGATATATTGTGTATCTTCACACAATAGTGGACAGGGAGGACTTAGCTGCGTATACCCAGACCACTAATAGGGCTTGGGAGACTGTTAAGAATATGATTGTACTCTTCATAAGGCGATTCTTACTGAAAAAGATCCTCTTAATAAAAGAAAATATATTAATAAGGCCCAGAATGTGAGGTGTCTATCCTTCTTTGCCTTCTCTGTACAGCACAAACAAAGGAATGGGTTTTGTTTTTCGGGAGGAAAACCAGGAATAACAAACAAGGACTTTGCAGTTTTTGTTCATCGGTGTGAATGTCCTCGGATTCAAGAGGATCCGGGTGATCGGACAGCAGAGAAGGGCAACAAAAAAAAAAAAGAGGCAACTATTTGGAGTTGATTGAAGTGGAGCTAACCTAATGTAGACAAACTTTTAATTTTTTTCTCGTTTCAGTAGTGGTAAAAGGAGAAATGGAACAGCCTGTGCGTACAGTTTTGTTTGTGTTGACACAGGAAAGCATTATTGTAATAATCCTTAAAGCCTTAAATATTTCTACTTTTTGTCTTTCATTTTAACCTTTAGAAAGCTTTACCTTTTTTTTAGATCGTTAACACAGCGCTTCATTAACAGAACGTTTTCGGCAACACTACAACGGTGACAGTTTTGTTGCATCAGTTTTATGAGGGGAAGGGGCGGGACCAACCCATGACCAGATTTCAACAGCTCTAGTCTTGTTTTCGTTCTCTGTACGGTACTTCTCACATGTTTTCTACTCGACTCTTTTGCTTTCAATTCCCCTGAAATACACGAACCTTTCTCCCAATCTACCTCTCCTCAGTGAGCAATTTCTGTCTTTGCAGTCTCTACAGAGGCATCAAGCTTTTAGCAATTCCTGTCAGACATTGCCCTCAGACATTTTTCAGCACTTTCTCTCCTCCCCCCACACTCTAATCTCTCATTCTCACTCTGCCTTTAGCTTTTCTGAATGTCCTCGCTCAGGCCTCATTTTTAGCAAAAAAAGATGCGTAATGATTGTATGCTGCTCTATCTGCTAAATGACAAAGCTATTTAGAAGGTATTTTTTCGGATTTTGGACAAAGGAAAAAATATTTTGCTATATGTAAAAACAGCTACCGTCAATACGTAAACATTCTGGAAATAGAGAAGTATATGTATTTTTAAATGTTCCTGTTTTTGTTCAAATGTGTAGCACAAATTAAAATTCCTCATTGACTTAAGGATTACGTCGTCTTCTCTTGTGTGACCAGGTGTCGGCCATGTTGGGTCTCTCCAGTCGCTTTCACATTGTTGTTCCATTTGGTGACAAATGCAGGTATCCAACCATCTTTATTCTTAGGTACCATCATTGTCACAACAGTATAAATAATGACCAGGAAGAATAGACATGCATGAGATCATTTGCATACAAATTTTAAAACTCACAAAAATAAAATCTTGTTACTGCAAAAAAAACTAACAGTTAAAAGTGGAGAGTAGAACAAAGCTGATGGGGCGAAACAATGTTCAGACTGATTCACAAGAAATACAAATCAAACCAATCAGTGTAACAATACTGCTGAAATGATTAGTCAATTAGTTTTGATCATTCAGATAAAGATATTGGCTTGTTTAACTTCTAAATAATTGTAAATGTAATCTTTTGGACCTTTGGACGGACAAGCTGGGCATTTTTCTAACTTATTTAGACATTTTACAGACTTAATGATTAACTGTAGTGAGCCAAGCTTTGGACTTTATAAAATGGTGTTCTAGCTGGAACTCTTAAAGAGTCAGCGCAGCCCAATGACATGAAAACATGTTCACATGTTCGTCTGCTTATAGTTTTGGTTTTGCTTGCCTAGATTTTTTTGATATGCCGCCACCTCAATACACTTGTGGTGAAATAAATCCAGTTTGTTTTTTCTCACAGCAAAGAAAAGTTACTTAAAAAAAACAACCAGCAACATCTTTCAGAAAAAAATGTCCCAGTTACTCCAGATAATCCACAGACCTCACAGGTGAATAGTCTTCCTCGGGACTACTTTATATCAAAGAAATAGTCCTTTTAAAAACGAGTGAGGTCAATAGATTATCCAGAGACACTGTCTCAGTGTCCCCCTCCAAAAACAATGCAGCTAACAACCTGTGTGAGCAGTAACAGTTTGATTTCTGTTCATAGTACTTAAATAAATTAATAACATTTAGAAAAAGAATCCATAACTATATTCGTCATTCCAGAAAATACTAGTTGTTTTTCTTTCCATAAGTAGGTTTCAATGTTTAATAACCAATATATTGACCAAAAATGATTAATTCCCTAAATGCAGTTTCTCCTTTAAATGTCCAAACAATATGTGACCAAGTGTTATATATTTACAAACTGTTTACACCTCATAACCAGATACATAGAGCATATATTCACAACAAAAGGGAGGTTTGTACACAAGTGTTGTGCATCAGAAACTCTGGAGTGAATTACGTTGTCTTGATGATCCAATAATTAATAAACAATGTTCCCACAACAGCGGCACATCCCCTGTGTATGTATGTGAAGCCTCGAGAGCGCATCTCTTATTCCAGTAGAGGTATAAAGTCCGGTGATGAGGCTCAAAGTGAAACGCGAGAGCTGGGGTCGTAGGTCTCGAGTTTCCTTCCTCTGTCACCCCACTCTCCAGTACAAAAGTCAACATTCAGACAACGGTTTAGTCTGTTGAGCGGACAGTGATGATGCTTCGTGAGTTGCTGTCAAACAGAATTATAAAACATACAACACTCTAAAAGCACCGTGTAAAACATCCGCCGTTCCTCTGGTTTGTCTGCAAAATGTTTTTTTTGGAATCGTTAAGTACATCTTCAGTTTGAGTCCCAACAGAGTCCCTTTGTCTGAGAGCTGGCTAGCTAGTTCACCATGCTACTTAATGACTAAATCACTAATACATTTTCTAAAATACAGGTGGGAAAAAAAAGTCCAATGTGCGCACATGCTCCGAGCGCTGACTGAAGAGGAATTCGAAGCCTACAATCTACTGTGCTTTAAACCCCATCAGTCTGCACACTGGCTGGTTAGACCTCGCCTGCCTCAAACGCTGATTAATTAGGCAACCTTTCCTCGCAGCGTATTCCTTTGATGCCGCGGTGGGTTACAGATTCTGTCTGTCACACAAACCCAGTGGGAGTCAGCATGAGGGAAGCAGGTCTGGCAGCTGTGGAGTCACGGAGCGTTATCTCCAGTTTGATTGCTTGGCTTTGTGCTGTGCTGACGCTAGGTTTCACATTCATAATTCATGCTGCGTACGTACGTGCACACGTTCGTCTCTCCCGGTCCTGTGTGTTTGTGCACATCTTAGTGGATCAGCAGGAGGAGGCACTGATCTTCTCCGAGACATCGGGGTCGGACTTGGCCACCAGGAAGCGCAGACGACCTCCTCCCAGACGAATCAGATCCACCGCACTGCAAGGAGCATACAGGAGGAAGTAGAGAGAGAGTCCAGTTACGTGAAGCTCAGCAGAGACAGAGTAAGGATGACCGTCTGGGCACCAATCAATCAAAGTAATCAATTGGCTTAAGCACCACTGAAGCGTCCTCTGTACCTCTGGTAGTCTGCTCCGATCAGACTGGTCCCATTCACAGCCAGGATGCGATCTCCGATCCTCAGTCTGCCGTCGGAGGCAGCCGGTCCGTCGGGGATCAGAGTCCGGATGTAAATGCCTGGAGCGTTGAGGGGAGTGTGCTGCAGAGGGGGAGAAGTGTTTTAAGCGCGTCCATTATTTAGGTGAGCATCTGATGGATGGATAGATAGAGCTGATTGATGAATTAAAGTACGTGGCCACTATTTTCCGTCCTCAGTATATGGCCGTTAAAACTTCTACATGACACGAAAGAATCGTTACAATCAGCGGTTTAAATGCGAGTTTGATTACATTGTGATTGCCTCTCAACATAACTTTATGACTCGTTTATGGTCATAATATACTGTGACCTTTTTTCAACACACTTTACTATGACCTTTTCTCTACATACTTTGCTATGACTTGTTTTGGTACACTTTACAATTACTTTTTTCACTTACTATACTATGAATTTTTAAGAATTTGTTTTCTACATACTATTTTATAATCTTTTTTTTTGGGAATATTATAGTAGGACTTTTTTGGAAATGTTACATGTAACGGCCCCAGGAGGTTACTTTCTTGCCGTATCTTTTAGTGTACCTGGAGCTGGATTCATTCAAGCATGTGGAGGCAGCTGGCTAATGTTTCCAATCTATAAGACTCTCCCATCCTGGGATTTGTGTGCTCTTTTTTTTTTTCCCCCTGGCACCACTTTGTGCCATGTTGGACTTTTAATGTGCTGTATACTTTGTCTTTATATGCCTCCCTTACTTTGGTGGGATGTTTCCCCGTCAGTCCCATTTGTTAGCATTTGTTACATTTGGTAAAATGAATAAACCTTTGTTAAAGAAAAATCCTTTCTTTTAAATAAAAACAAATTGCATATGCTTCCCTTATTTGTCCATGTCCTAGAGTCGGACATGACATGACTTTTTAATAACTTTTTTGACATACTTTATTATGACATACTTTCCTGTGATGTTTCTTTGAAAAAGTAAACTTTTTTTAAAGACTTTTTTTTGACATAAAGCAAATACTTTTTTGCTTTAACTATACTATTACTTTTTTAGACACATTTTTGGATTACTATACTATGACGAAGATTTTTTTAGACAGACTAAACTATGACCTTTTTTCAACATAACTGTTCAACAGACTATACTAACTTTCTTTGTAACTCTATACTATGACGTTTCTTCGACACTATACTATGACTTTCTTTTGGCTTTTTTTCGACATACTATGACATTCGTTTGACAAACTATACTATGATTTCTTTTGTTGACATTTTAATGGCATACTATCCTTTAACTTCTTATGAATATCTTATGCTTTACTATGACTATTATGACATACTATTCTATCACTTTTTTATCTAATGCTAAAACATATCTGTACAGTACATATGTTTTTAACTTATTCTTCAAAAGTAGTAATAGCGAAAGTACTAAACCAACTGTTTCACAAAGACAAAAACACACTGCTGAAACCTTAAGTAACGGGTAAGATAAAATGTCAAATATGTTTTTAAACATTCATCTACTCACCAGGCCGTCTATGAGTCCCATGCCCAGTCCGTAGGGTCCCTTGTCCAGCTCCACTACAAACACCACACACAAGTCATCAGGAAGGGGAGGGGCGCCAAGGGAGGACACAGGGAAAGGAAACTCACACCCACTAATACACCCTGCAGAGGACACGGACACCCAAATACACAAAAACACAAACACACACACACAGGGTCTTGCTTTGGGGTTGGACAAACATAAAAGGTATTTCTGTGCAAAAGACACACACACACACACACAGATACTGACACACATGCTACATGCTACAAAGCTAACACACAGACGTGTGCTTCTGACTAGAACCTGCAGATGTCACACTCACTACACTGTAAAAACCGCACAGGCAAGATACTGCTGTCAAGTGAGGCACAGAGCTGACCGATGCATTTCAGCAATTCAACTAAAGTAGTGCACATTTAATGCTACATTCATCAATTGTTGGTCTCTTGGGGACAGAAGAACCCCAAAACAATCATCAGCATGCAAAACTCTGATACAGTACAATCACCTTATTATTATTATTATTATGTTATGATTAACATGTTTGGAAACAATTGCCTACTTGCTCATCAAGCATACAGGAAGCAACATTATCTCCAATTGGAATCGTGTTCCAGGACTTCATTTTGTCTCTGAAATCCAACTGTTCTAAATTGTAGTCCAGCTAGTTGCTAAATTCATTTGTCCAAGTAATTTGGTGGTCGGCAGGTAGCGTACATTGGGTTAATCAGAACATTTTTGCAGCAGATAACGGCATCTGAAAATGAGAGCTTATGAATCAAACACTCAATGTGTTGTTAAACCAAATGTATGAGCTAAAAGACGCTAAAAATCTTTGTTTGTGCAGCGTCTGTGATGATTCTTTTGTGGGTTCATTGCTACAAGTGACCGCTCACCATTTAGTGTAGTCATTTAATCCATAAATATAAACAGTATTGATGAATGCAGCTTTAAGTGAATTTAGAATGGCACTCATTTTGTGCAGGTGTTGTCAAAATAGGTCACCGTGTCCTGTTATCTCAGAAATGAACTGAGTGAAGCAAGCGAGGGAGGGAGGG